GGAATTGCAATAAAAAAGTAGTGGTAGTGAATTAACGGAAAATGACCCTAATTCCTCCTATTGTGAACAAATCATGATAGTCTGCAATGGAAGATCTGAAGTTATTCCAAATCAGAGTTAATCTTAAATGAAAACTCTAATAATTAAAATTAATAATTATTGTTTGTGTATTAATTTGTTTAAACATGTGTCAATTCAAATAGAAATCTTCACATTTATTTGGTAGGTGTGATCTAAAATTTGGTTCACTCTCTACTTCACTGTACTGTTCATGCTTTTTCAAAGAATCACTTTCTTCTAATCCCATCCCATTTAGTATCCACTCAGACCCCTAAAACATTCAACATAATATAAATAAATATACAAGACTCAAGAGAGGGTCTTACTTTTAAACTCCTTTATGGTGAACAAATTGCGTAACTAACTAGGAAAAATGTCAGCAGCTTATTCACTGTAATTTTTATATTTTATAGAAATCTTGTGTTAAATTGTTCTTTGGTATTGGTTATAGCAAGCAAACGCTAAGATATTAGCCTACCTTATTTACAAGAGTAATCAAAGTACAAGTTACATAAATATTTGGTTTATATAGTTGATAAAACACAAAAGTGGCTTGTTGTACCTGCTATTTCAATATCAAAAGTTAAATGATGAAATGTAAATTGAATTAAGTTGTAGAATAATATGAATATCCAACCTTATATAATATATCTATATAAATAAAATTAGTTTTTAATGAATTTAACTTGCAATCTACTTAAGTTTGACTCAATTTTAAGAGTTTTTAGGGTTTGATTTGGGTGTTTGTTAAAGATTCCCAGATTCAAGAATCTACAACCTCGTCCATTTGTCTCTATATCAATAGATTGACTTTAATGATTTAGAAAGAGTGATATTTCTTCCATTTTGATAAGCAGATGACGCTCTAATTCACAGAAAGTGAGTGATCTATGTTGTTGGTTTATTTTGTGAGATAAACAACAATGTAAGAGTATAATGAATTAATCTTGTACGATTTCCTAGGCTCACACTTGAAAACTTTACAAAGATTCTATTGATATTCTAGTCTCAGCTGCAATGGTTGTTAAAATACATGCTGTCTTTCAGGCTATGAACAGTATAACTAGTTATATTTCAAATAATATAAATCAGTGTGGTTATGACATTTTTAGTGAATATACATTTTTATTTAAAGCTTTAAAAAGTAACAAGTTGTCATTTTATTAATTATTATATTTTTTATGTAGTTTACTTTATAGAAAATACTTTAGGCTTAAGTTGAGTATCTCTACTAACCTCGATAAACTAATAACTACTATAGCAATACATACAATACGGTATATTATTTGGTCTCAGTAGGTTAGTATTTGTACAATCATTACTATAAGTATCGTGTTCGGCTTGTGAGTGCCTACTTGTACTACTGTATATCATATCTAGTCCCATCATCATACCTCTGTTGTCATAGTACAAACATTTGTTGCAGTTATTAGACCTAGGTGATCGCTTTTTCATTCAGCTCTAGATTAATAGTTTTCTTTTACTGTAATTTTTGTGTAAGTCTTAGGAAACTTAATTATTCGTCATATTCATTCCTTGTTTAATGTACGTGAAGTCAGTTTGTGTGTGATTTGTTATTAAGGAACTGAAGGGTGTATTTTACAGTTCATCTGCCAATAAACTGGCTTGAGATACTGTTTGTATGAATTAAATAAGATTCACCAGTATTTTTTTAAAGTTTTACTTAAATGACTATTTTTTTTACAGGGTGCGGCAAAAAAAACAATCTATTTTCTGCAGAACACTGATCAGGGACAGATCGTCTGAGAGTGGTGGGAGTAGGCTCGTTGGAAAGCCTACACAATGCAATTTTTTGTAGTCATAGAGCAGTGGTCGCCTGAGCTACGTGCAGTTGTTATGGAGTCGTTTTTAAAAAGTATTGAATTCATTCATTGCAACTCAGTGGCAGTTTTATGCATTCTTTCAATTAAGGCGACATGGAGACGTTCCGTTGCGTAGCACAATAATGTGGTGGGCTACTAACTTTAGAATAACAGCTTTTGCGTTGAAAAGGGAGCTGACAGGCCATCCAAAGTCAGATTGGACACCAGGCAAATAACATTCAATAGAGTTCGTGCTGCTGTGGAAAACAGTCCTCGTAGGCCTGCCCTGGAACATGTCTTGACCGCTCAGTTAAACGAATTCCGAGGTTAATTTCCATCCCTACAGATTAATTAGAATAATAATCTGTTTCATTTTGTTAATTATCCATACAGATAATCACGACAGAACCTCTCCATGTCATGTTAACCGAAGAGAATAAAAGCACGGAACTGCTTCTGAGTTGCAATGACTGATTCATCACTTTTTAAAAATGACTTGATAACAACCACACATAGCTCATATGACCACTGCTCTATGACTACAAAAAATGGCATTGTATAGGCTTTCCAACGAGCATACCCTGATTGTATAGGCTCATTTCCCTGAGACTAAACAGTCACTAAACAGTGTGCTGAAGAAAATAGATTGTTTTTTTTGCCGCACCCTGTATTAAAGAAATAAGATTCATAGTAAAACAATGCTGTAAATGCAACCAAATGTTTCATCTTAGTTGATTTTTTCAGAATCGTGCTTAACAGTATTTAGTAGTACAGTACTGTGTTTATTTTTTTTAACTCTTTTTATATTCCTTTGTTTGTATAGGTTATAATTTTATATAACCTCTAAGTTAAACACTGTATTTTCATCCCCTATTCCAAAAAACTGAAATACACCTTCCATTTTCATATTTTTGGTATATTTTTAGTTTGTCATGGTGGTTATTGGAGTAATTTTCTTTTTTACAGCAAAACTGAACTATACAACATCTTTATTATTTACTCTGATTTTTTTCAAGTAAGTGGTAAGAACTGTTAATAAAAATCCTGCTCCATTAAATTTTGTCAATCTTTTTTTTAAGTAAATTTAAAACAAAATTATGCTTTCAAATTGTTGGTAATAATGATTTTAAATAATAAAGGGGTTTTTACCAACATTGACCATATATGGTTTTTAATTATAAACAATAAATAATATCTGACCATCGTTACTAGTAACCACCACTGGATCAAACCTTTTGAATTGTGACTTAGTACTGAATTGTAAGGTTGTTGTGCTGTTCACATAGTATAGAAATTAAAGTCATAAAAATCATTTGGGTGAGTTTTAATTATTCTTTACATCTCTTTTTGTCGTACAGTAATTAAATTTACCTTAAAAGAAACTTCAACAAATTAAAACTGCAACTTAAATAGATTTTCAAATTAGATGATTACAAATTAAATGGAAAATATATACAGTCCAACCTCAGTATAACGAATCTGAAGGGACCGAACTGAATATTCGTTATATCAAGGATTTCGTTAAAACGAGGTTCGTTATATAGAGGTTAGGTTTGCAGGAATTTCGCTAAGTCGAGGTTCAGAACCAGCGTCGGTCAATATAGGTCGGGATTTGACCTCATTAAAATACAGTACAATTAAAGTAGCATGGGCTACAATACTTTACAGTACAGTGTTTTCATTGTACAGTAGAACCTAAATTATCCGGCATAATAAAGGGGAGGAATCTTGAATATTGTGCAATCATGACAACGGCATTGACCTTGGTACAGGTTAAAAACTGTAAGTTTAAAATCACAGCTTGTTCTAACCCTCCTAAAACCTAGCCAAACACTGTATTGCGTAGTCATAAACCAGAACAAAACAAAACAGTAGAAAGTTTTGTAAGCTACTGCTCGCGATAGGCCGGTAGGCTACTTACAGTACAGTACTGATTTATCACAACAGAGGAATGTCAATAACAATCATTAACTATAGCATTGGTGTTGCTAGTTGAAACAAATCGTATTGAAAACAATAAATTATTAGATAAGTCACTATAAAAGTGTATAATCATAGCCAACTTAAGGATAATAAAAACACTCGTAAAAGGAATGTTAAAATAACGATGTTGCTATTCTTTCTCTTTGGTTTTGTTTTTATATTCTTTCTTAGGTTTCTCTTTATCCAAAAATTTTACAATTCACCATAGTTATCCCATATCGGTCAATCACAGCTTACGTCAGTCCTCAGTGAATGAAATCAGTTCTCAGTTGCAACATAGCGCGCGCAGCGACAGCAGACAATATATGTAAAACGGAGCTGAGCAGACGAATGTTAGTGCAAGCGATGACGTGACCTTTCCATTTCATTTGATAGAGAAACAGATTTTCCCAAAACAATAATTGGGTGGGGGATTTGTTATATCGAGGGAAAGACGTAGACACTTCGTTATGCAAAGGTTAAATTCGCAATGTAGAGGTTCTGATAATGATAAATTAGTTATATTGAGGTGTCTTATTTTAGCCGAAATCACGAAAAATTCGTTAAATCAAGGTCGTTGTTATGGTTTGTTCGTTATGTAGAGGTAAAATATACATTGTGTCTTATGGAGAGTTCTAGGGGATTTAAAAAAAATTCGTTATATCAAGGAATTCGTTATATCGAGGTTCGTTATATCAAGGTTAGACTGTAGTAATATTTCCATGGGCGTACCCAGGGAGCCCTGCCCCCCTCCCAGACTTTTTAAACATACATATTTTTTGGTCCCCCCAAAGGATGTGATCCTCCACCAGCTAGTTGCCCCCCCCCCCTCAAACTCATCCCTGGATACGCCACTGAATACTTTGCCAAAATGACTTAATGAACCTATGTTTTTAACCTGTATAGATTACATAAACCTGTTTCTTGTGGAATCTGAGTTATTGTATATAGCATGATCTACGAGGGGGTACCCAAAAGATCCCAGAATAGCTCTGCCGTGGGCGGAGCTTGCGTAGTACAAATTCTCGCCGCTTAGCTCATGTAGCGCTGCTTATAGCCAGTTTAGTGCCGACTGTTGCGTTGACCTGACGTGTTCTGTCCCCGTGCAGTAATAGTTTTTGCTAGTGCTGTTTTGTGATTTTGTCGTTTTTTACAATGACAAGTTTAAGTGAACAGCGTGCAGCTGTGAAATTTTGTTTTCTACTTGGCAAAAACGCCGCTGAAACAGTTGAAATGTTGAAGACAGCCTACAAAGACGACGCTATGGGGAAAACCCAAGTGTACGAGTGGTTTTCTCGGTATATAAATGGTGACATGTCAATTCAGGACAAACCTCGTTCTGGACGACCATCGACTTCACGAACAGACGAAAATCTTGTGAAAGTGAAAGAATTTGTGCTTGCAGACCGACGACAGACTATCGAGCAAATATCAGAGGCTAGTGGGCTATCATGGAGCTCAATTCAACGGATTTTAACCGAAGATTTGAACATGAAAAGGGTTGCCGCCAAGTTTGTGCCTCGTGCTCTCACTGACTTTCAAAAGGAACGTCGAATTGAAGCCTGCCGTGATTTGAAACAGCAACTTGAAGCCAATCCAGATTTGTTGTCCAAAATAATTACAGGTGACAAATCTTGGTGCTATGGGTACGACCCAGTACCCAGTAGTATTACTTTTCAAAATTAGTCCAAAGAAAATCAAAATTACTGTGGCAAGTGTCATTTATGTGAATTAACCAGCTGTACCTCATTTCAATAATGGACATGGACTTCCAGAGCTTCAACCATTGCTTCTCCCCAGATCCTGCCAACTCTTCACAGTGTTAACATCACTTTATAGAACATTGGGTCTAAATTAAATTCATCCCAAAGTGTAATCTAAATTTTAATTTGTTTTAAATCAAAAGTATTATGGACAAGTGTCTTGAAAAGTACCAAATTTTACCCAACCCCTATTTTATTTATTGCATGTGGTACAAAGGTGAAGACAGAGACTCCAAATTGGTAACCATCATCCATCTTATTAAGTATCTATGGACAAATTTTCATTGGACATTTTAAATGAGCATAGCCTAATAGGCCCAATTATAACTGAAATTCATCAAGATCTACATATTTCAAATTGAACATTTATTCCAAATTTAATCTTCAAATCTTATTTTATTCCATTAAATTCAGTGAAACCATTTGACATCTTTCTTTGGACATTGACATATTACAATATAGCATCATAAACCTAGCCTATTTCAGAACAATAATTAAATTATCTGCATTTTAAAGTTAAGAGCCTAAGTTAATATATCATTCGAACCGGCACGATCACCCCTCCCTGAGATCAAGAGTTGTTAATCACCTCAGAAGAAACCAACCCAATGTAACTAGTATAGCCTAGATTTGTTTTATCCACTTTGAAGCCCCACCATTTTTGTAAATTTACCCTATAGAATCCAAACAATATCTTATATTTGTAATCCGCTAATAAATTTCATATAGTAACTTACCAAACCTTTTTATTCTTAAAGTAATTCATAAATTATAAGATTAAGATAAATACTTACCTCATTAGACATAAATAACACACAAGTTAGGATAATGATCTTTATTAAGAAATGACTTTGAGTTCAATGTGGACTAAATTAATAGCCAAAGGAATTTCGTAAGCTAATAAATGGACCTGTTCGGTACTTATTTAAAGTCCCTAGATTGGTGCTACCCTAACCTTGCCCAACGTTATCTACGGCGAATCGTCCCCACTCCGACTACTGAAAACGCTCCTCACTAGCATTGCCGACGGCGTCATGGGCAGACGTCGCTACGTTTTCCTACATTTTGCATAGACTCTTTAATTCTCATTAATTCACAAATAACTTCATTTTGTCAGTTTTAAGTTTTGTTCAATATACCAGTCATTTTTAACTTCACCAGTGCTAGTCATTTCCCTTGTTGTTGCCCCCGCACCTTTGGTCTACACCGCTTCCATCGCCTGGACTACCCACTACATTGGACGAGACGGACATCATCCACCTTCAAGACATCCGACAAGGTAACGGTAGCACCAGAATTAATTTTGTTTTGTTCAAACCGCCGTACGGCTTTCCGCTAAAGACCGTACATAGACCTATAGAATAGAAAGCTTTATTGTGCGTACCAAATTTAATTATCCCCACAGAAATCTGTATGCTATGAAATGGAATACAGATTTCGACAAAATATGAAATGGAATCATAATAATACAACATACAGGATAATACAACAAAATTATAATCTAAATTAACAAATGTGTAGGCAATAACATTAAAATGGGGAATATAGAATAGAGTGTTCATGGCCTGTCATGGGAAGAAAGCGATATTATGACTGTAGTTTCATACTGTTCAATATCAGATAACTTAATTGTTTCTTTGTTATCGAGAAGATCACAGTTTATTAGTTAGTGAGTATTGTTTATAACTTTATCACCTGTGTATTAGTTTATGGTAATCACAATTTACGGGGTCACACACTCGCGATTAAGGTCCATGGCACAATTTGATTAGAGATGATGATGCAAAAAAGTCTATTGATGGATGAAACACATTATGAAATTTATTGATATACAATGTCTTCAAAGGTAGGGTCATCATTATCTATCTCGTCGATCACAGCTTCTATTGCTCGGGTTGGTTCCAAGTATTTCTTGAGGGCTGATATATGGTACTGCCCTGCTAAGCACAGTTGTGGTAACTGACATCTGGATAAAATTGAGAAAATAAGGGTAGTATATTTAAAACTATGCCCTACAGTCAAAAATTGACTTAAAACAATTTTTTTGGTCACATCTCATGTATTTTTTAACGCTAAATCTTTTTCCAAAATTATTTTTAACATGAAAACATTCTAAATACTTAAGAAATTAGATAATGCTTTAGTTTTTATCAATTACAATCAAATAAACTTGGCCATATAGTGGCAACTTAATTTTCCTAAGCCAATATGTTGTATCTCTGCAGATGCCACAAACTGGTCAAGCAAAATCATGGTTATTGTTTCAAATGCAACAAAATATAAGGTTCCCAAAATAAACAAAATTTCTGGATTGAAATATTTTTGATACTATGATTCTGTTTTGGCAACAAGTTGTTGAATTGTTTTTTATGGGGGGTTGGAGAGGATACTGGTATTTAAATATATATGAATTATACCATTAGTGATGTTATTATAATTGTTATATGAGTAATTAATCTTCCCCCTCAAATTGTCCAACTACCTACTGAAACTTTTCTCAAATAAGTTAGAAAATTGAAATATAAAAAAATATTTGTATTTATTATTAATTATTATATGTTAAGCAGGTGTTCCACCACTGTATCTAGTATCGCAACTATCACAACGTTATCGGTAACTTATCACAAAAGTTGATAACTTATGCATTATGAATTTACCTATTTCAATAATTATTTATAATATAGAAGCACACGACACTACATATATGTATGTTAATTCATGTAGGTTCGTACATAACTGGTATAAAACTGTAAACAATTGTATTATATTTTCCAAAAAAATTCTTTATAAGAAGAATTAATTAATTACCATGCTTTAACTGTACAATAATGATAAACATATTTTATTTTATTTTAATACTTTTCCAATTACTTCATTACATTTTAAAACAAAAAGTTTAAGCATTATAAGCTGTTAATAAACATGAATGATAAAACATATTTAGCTAGTATATATAATCCAAATTAAATGCATGCGACTTAAAAAATGGCCAAAACAGGGATAAAACCCATTAGTTAAGATTAAACATATCATATTTAATCAAACATCAATAATCAAACAAATTAAACATTTATTTCAACATTGTTGAAACTTGTTTTTTAAGAACTACACAAACTATTGTCTTATAGTTTTGTAAACAATTTAAATTTGTGAAAAAATTGATTTTAAAATTGTTGAAATTTGTTTTTCAGAACTAGACCTACACAAACAATTGTTAAATACTTTTGTAAACAATGTAAATATTGTTTGGAAAATTGTTTTAACATTCTTTATAACAAAACTAAGAATAAAACAATTTTAAAATTGTTTTAAAATAGTTACAACTTGTATTAAAACTTTTTTTGTATACTGCAAAAAACTGATTGTTAAACAATTTAAAGATAATTTCAATCTTATATTAAAGTTGTTGTAATGTGAAGTTTAAATCAAAATGCGTTTTAATGGTTGTAAAACAATTATTGTAATACAACTTTTGAAATTTTTTTTAACAATTTGTATGGTCATTGGGGATCAGCAATCGACGATCTGTCAATCTTGTTATGGGGCATCCTTTATTCCTATCAGGTTTTGGTGAGACACCATTTTCCTTAGACATATCTTGAATAATCCTATCATTGGTTTTGTTATAGCACAAGGTTGTAAAAAAAATGTTACCAACTTTTTGAGACGTTTTTGTTATGAGTAATTTTCATAAGTAGGTACATCTTCATTAAGATCATCAGATTGACCTGTTAAAATCTTAATTTTATTTATCAAGCCTACATTATCTGAACCAGAAACCCCTTCACTCAAGTCATAATTTATTTCATCAGATTGTCCTGTAAAAACTTAACTTACAGTTTAATTTTTTATGCTTACATTATTGGCAGAATAAATGACCTCTTCTAAAGAAAGGCCCATCATTTAATAGGCCTACAAGATACTCTGTAAAAATTTTGCCGTCAAAAATGATACTATTATCAATATCACCAAGTGGAATGTCAATATAAAGGAAATTAAATTCATTATATGATAATAATATAGGTCGCCTCAATTCAAAGAGACAAAACCTTTGATCCCAACAACACGGCACTTATATAGGAATACTCGGCCAATAATGGGAATGATGCTAAACTAAATTGCCGTAACTGATGGATTGCTAAAGCATTTTGTTGTTAACATATCATTCCTAAGGGAAATCGTTGTATCTGTTGTTGGATACAACTTAAATACCCTAGTAAATGCAAGTTACAACAACTGCGCTTGGTAAAACACTCCTAAACTGCAGATACGGCAAAGAAAATAAGCATTTTATAAATAAATACAACAACATATACGACATTTAAGGCTATTTATATGATCCTAAGTATGTGTAGAATCACATGAAAACCATATCTCATTTTCCCCAAAAATGTCAGTTACCACAACTGTGCTTAGCAGGGCAGGGTAGGGGCCATATAAAACATCTTCATCTTCTTTAGCTGATATTTATTTAACAAACTGCTCAATTTTTCACGCTCTTCTGCGGTTATGTGCATATTTGTTGCTAGGGAAATATCTATTTCTTCCTAAGGTAATGTTTCGTCTTCGGTTGGATCTGTTTTTCTATTTTTTGCAGTTATTTATTGTGCGATTATATTTATTATATATTGGATCATCGTGATATACATCAAACGTTTCATCATTAAAATATTCATTATTTGGCCTATGGCTATCATTAATTATTAAGTGACTTATTTGTCCCTCACACAAGGTAAGGAATCTAACAAATGTAAGGAACAAATTTTCGAAGAAACCAATGTCTCTTTTTTTCATAGACCTAGAGCCTAGCGACAATAATAAGGAAATATTTCAATTACAATTAATTTTAAATGCTAAGGTTTTATTTGAACCACCTCAGAAAAAGAAAGAAATTGTCCAATGTAAACGCTGCCAGCAGTATGG